GTTCTAAGAAAACGCTACACGATCAGAATATATCATAATGACTTTTGAAGCTTTTCGCCATTGAAATACTCTACTTACTATTAACAATAAAAATCCATTTGAAGTCTTTTTTCAAACATATCTGACATTTATTGTGTCCCTCTCTTTCTTATTAAATTATTTTTCAATAGTTGTAAAATACAAATCTGACTTGGGGAAAAAGATAATTTCGTCAGGTATTCGCCGTCTTCAAACAACATCTGAAGGTTTCTGATTAAAGATGCTATCTGTCGAAATTACAAAGGTTACATACGTATTTAATTCTTGCACTTTCTTGTTTTGGCATTAATGATCGATATAAATGACAAAACTGTACTGGTAAATACATGTATATTGCGCTCTGGTGCGATGTATTTTGTATATACATACATGTATGTAAGACTTTGTGATCCACACAAATGTATTTTCCGTACGTCATGTTCCGTCCGGGTTCCGCAGTACCGGACGAAGTTTTAGTCTAGCTCCCTGCAAGTGGGCGGATAACAAATAAAATAATTCCGAGTTCAGGCCCCACGAATGAAATCCCTAAAAATATATGTATATTAGGAAAAAAATAATATGAATTGGATGTTTGTCCATACATTTGATGTAGATATGTGTTAGATATGATTATCTCACTATCAGTGTGTAAATCATTCATGTTGCACGTGTATTTTGTGCTGCACGATCCTGAGTGAAAAGTCATGTTTTTACCTCCACCTCTACCTATGACCCGGATGTATATGATTGGTATCGCTGACGTATATAGAGGTGTATCTCCAGAAAATGCAGATGGTGATGAATTGATAATTTTATATGTTGCTTCTTAGATGTAGATCTTCGTCATGTGTAATGGAAATTTGCAAATGAAACTTTGGGATTTAGTAACAATGACACATATACTAAACTTCATTGTAGTCTCGGTCCAAGTGTAACAAAAATGGCGACGCCCATGTGCGTTATTGGCATGTTGTATTTTAAAACGATTGTTTAATTGGTTAGAGGTTTAGAATATTTCTTAAATGTATTGCTGAAGCTATTCCTTGACGCAGAGAACTGTTATTATACGGAAATTCATTAAAAGTATCTCGAGGTTGTATCGAGAATCTTCTGTCTTTCGGGTTAAACTTTTTTCTACATGGGAATGTACAGGGCACCTGTTGGCCATCGCATGTTTGCTTGAATGATATCATATCATTGCATTAACAATCCGGAAACAATTTGTACAGGACAATGTTTCGCTGTTTATTGGAAATAAGCTTGCACGATAAGATATTGCAATTCTCTCGAATGGAAACGTGTGCACATAAATGCTGATATGTACGCTGTTAAAATTTATGTATAGTGTTTACCATGTGTCCGCGGATGATGAGATGATGTGCAGTTGTAAATATTACCCAGACATTTGTCGTTTTAGAAATCAATCAAGTCTTATTTGCTTTTGCTGAGATAAATTATCCAAAGTAATGTCCATATAAGCAGCGTAACTAGTGTGTAGTTGTGCAACAACTGATTCGTCATCATCATTCAGCCATACCTTCATGGCCAATGCCTAGCCCAGATCTCTTGTGCAATGGTAAAATATGTAGGAAAAACAGTCAGTACCATTAAAAATTATAATAACATTCATACTTTAAATTGCAACATTTACGTTTCCAGTGAGAAAATTATGGAGCAACATCACAAGAACATGTAATTCAACATACCTCTTGGTTGTCAGTTAAACACCCTAAAATAGATATTATTTCAATCATTGTGATTAACATGTAGGGTGAATTAGCCCTCTGTGGTCTATAGACGACAACGTGAAGGGGAGATCACATGTTTAGTCGACAATAGTCAACAACGGTGATGGGAGAGTACATAAACAGTCGACTATAGTCAACAACGGGGAGAGGAGAGTACATATACTGTCGACTATAGTCAACAACGGGGAGGGGAGAGTATATATACAGTCGACTATAGTCAACAACGGGGAGGGGAGAGTAGATATACAGTCGACTATAGTCAACAACGGGGAGAGAAGAGTAGATATACAGTAGACTATAGTCAACAACGGGAGGGGAGAGTACATATACAGTCGACTATAGTCAACAACGGGGAGGGGAGAGTAGATATACAGTCGACTATAGTCAACAACGGGGAGGGGATAGTATATATACTGTCGACTATAGTCAACAACGGGGAGGGGATAGTATATATACTGTCGACTATAGTCAACAACGGGGAGGGGAGAGTACATATACAGTCGACTATAGTCAACAACGGGGAGGGGAGAGTAGATATACAGTCGACTATAGTCAACAACGGGGAGGGGAGAGTACATATACAGTCGAGTATAGTCAACAACAGGGAGGGGAGAGTTGATATACAGTCGAATATAGTCAACAACGGGGAGAGGAGAGTTGATATACAGTCTACTATAGTCAACAACGGGGAGGGGAGAGTAGATATACAGTCGACTATAGTCAACAACGGGGAGGGGAGAGTAGATATACAGTAGACTATAGTCAACAACGGGGAGAGGAGAGTATATATACAGTAGACTATAGTCAACAACGGGGAGAGGAGAGTATATATACAGTAGACTATAGTCAACAACGGGGAGGGGAGAGTACATATACAGTCGACTATAGTCAACAACGGGGAGGGGAGAGTAGATATACTGTCGACTATAGTCAACAACGGGGAGAGAAGAGTACATATACTGTCGACTATAGTCAACAACGGGGAGAGGAAAGTACATATACTGTCGACTATAGTCAACAACGGGGAGGGGAGAGTATATATACAGTCGACTATAGTCAACAACGGGGAGAGGAGAGTATATATACAGTCGACTATAGTCAACAACGGGGAGAGGAGAGTATATATACAGTAGACTATAGTCAACAACGGGGAGAGGAGAGTATATATACAGTCGACTATAGTCAACAACGGGCAGAGAAGAGTACATATACAGTCGACTATAGTCAACAACGGGGAGGGGAGAGTAGATATACTGTCGAGTATAGTCAACAACGGGGAGAGAAGAGTACATATACTGTCGACTATAGTCAACAACGGGGAGGGGAGAGTAGATATACAGTCGACTATAGTCAACAACGGGGAGGGGATAGTATATATACTGTCGACTATAGTCAACACCGGGGAGGGGAGGGTATATTTACAGTCGACTATAGTCAACAACGGGGAGGGGAGGAATATACAGTACATACATACAGTCGAGTATAGTCAACAACAGGGAGGGGAGAGTTGATATACAGTCGAATATAGTCAACAACGGGGAGAGGAGAGTATATCAACAACGGGGAGGGGAGAGTAGATATACAGTCGACTATAGTCAACAACGGGGAGGGGAGGGTATATATACAGTAGACTATAGTCAACAACGGGGAGAGGAGAGTATATATACAGTCGACTATAGTCAACAACGGGGAGAGGAGAGTATATATACAGTAGACTATAGTCAACAACGGGGAGGGGAGGGTATATATACAGTCGACTATAGTCAACAACGGGGAGGGGAGAGTATATATACTGTCGACTATAGTCAACAACGGGGAGAGGAAAGTACATATACTGTCGACTATAGTCAACAACGGGGACGGGAGAGTATATATACAGTCGACTATAGTCAACAACGGGGAGAGGAGAGTATATATACAGTCGACTATAGTCAACAACGGGGAGAGGAGAGTATATATACAGTCGACTATAGTCAACAACGGGCAGAGAAGAGTACATATACAGTCGATATAGTCAACAACGGGGAGGGGAGAGTATATATACAGTCGACTATAGTCAACAACGGGGAGATATATACAGTCGACTATAGTCAACAACGGGGAGAGGAGAGTATATATACAGTCGACTATAGTCAACAACGGGGAGGGGAGAGTAGATATACAGTCGACTATAGTCAACAACGGGGAGGGGAGAGTATATATACAGTCGACTATAGTCAACAACGGGGAGAGGAGAGATATATACAGTCGACTATAGTCAACAACGAGTATATATACAGTCGACTATAGTCAACAACGGGGAGGGGAGAGTAGATATACAGTCGACTATAGTCAACAACGGGGAGGGGAGGGTATATATACAGTCGACTATAGTCAACAACGGGGAGGGGAGAGTATATATACAGTCGACTATAGTCAACAACGGGGAGGGGAGAGTATATATACTGTCGACTATAGTCAACAACGGGGAGGGGAGAGTATATATACAGTAGACTATAGTCAACAACGGGGAGGGGAGAGTAGATATACTATAGTCAACAACAGGGAGAGGAGAGTATATATACTGTCGACTATAGTCAACAACGGGGAGGGGAGAGTACATATACAGTCGAGTATAGTCAACAACGGGGAGGGGAGAGTAGATATACAGTCGAGTATAGTCAACAACGGGGAGGGGAGAGTAGATATACAGTCGAGTATAGTCAACATGTTTCATGCACCTTTCCTAAGTATGTTTTCTCCTATATAAATTATATTCATTACCGACAGTGTAACATGCATTTTGACGGTGTGCCATTGGCGTTTTTAATAACAAAAGTGACGTAATAATAAGCGTTTGCTGTATGACATTTATGGTACAATATGCTGAACTTCCCAGTAACAGGTAATATTATATAACAACACTGTGTATATAACTTGCTTAAGATGTTTTTTATAATATGTGTCAAATCACCTAACGGTACCTCGACCTCTTTAGCTATGCGGGGTCACGCAAGGCATTTAGCTATGTATATTTAATATCTTATATCTACCTTCAATTTTACCACCAGAAAGTTAATGATGAATAAATACATAGCAATGAATTGTTACATTTTCGATTTACATCAAGGTATGAACATGTGCTTGGTACATTCAGTCATTCCCTTGAATGTATTCTACCCGATGTACAAGGAAGTATTTTTCCTCGTGAAGGTTACTGAAGCGCGTTACTAGCTTAAAACGACTACGATAAAAATGGGTAAGTAGATATATATTTCTGTTTAATAAACGATACGGTTAATTTTGCTTATAAAATTTATAATGAATATTCGTTTCCATTTTAAGCGGTTCTTTTTGCAGGTGAGGTTTGGATTTTAATTAATTGTATTACATAAATACAAGAAAACAAACGCAAAAGTTTACAGTGGTCACGACATAATCAGCACAGATATATATCTAACATTATATTAGGAAAGGAGAAAAACACCACAAAAGAAACGAACATGTCGGCAGGTAACACTGTATTACTTCAAACAATCATCTCCATTTAATGTGTTCACTTTACTTTTTATACGAGTTAAAAACGTTTTCACGTTTGGAATATACATTCGTTTAATAGATTGTTTTAAAGACTGTTGCAAGGTAGTGCTATTTCCTGTTTTCCTGATATGTATACAAGTTATTCTATGAAATAAACGTATTTGATGCAAAATAGGTCACAGAAGTCTATTTTCTATTCCGCAGATTATAAATCAATGTTACCGACACTTTCATGGAAAAGGAGACGCAAAACATGTAATGAAGTCAATGATGATAAAAAGACTGATTTTTTTTTCTAAATATTCTTCTTTGTTTTTAAAGATTTCCAATTTATTTCTTCATATAAGCTATACTAGAAATGGTAACCTGTTTTAAGTCGAGCATCTTCCTGGACTGTTCAGTGTATCACTGCGATTATTTTAAATCCACGCTTTACAAATATATTCTAGAAAAGGAAGAAGATGCAGCAAAGATGATTTTTCTAGATTTTTTTCTACTTAAGATTTTTTCCAATTATCCACTAACAAAACGTCCGCACGCGGTTCACAACGCATCGACCTGTACCAATGATGCCATTTCTCTATTCCACAATCACTTACAATTATTTCCATAGTTATTATACAAATCTACAAACCCGAAAAGCTTTGTTCTAAACCGAGTTGCCAGCTTACCCCCTGCATGTGCAGCTCTTGCCAGTAAAGGTGTACCACCTGTCGGGCGATCTATTTGAGAAAACCATTTCGCGCTCAATACCTGTAGTTAGCCGCGCAAAATATGATTTGTCTATTCTCTTTGGGTTGATATCTTCTTCTTTCTGTCAAAATTAAATTTTGATTCACTATTTCCATTTATCAAACGAAAGTTTTTGTAGTTCTAAATCAAAATGCATTATTTGTTCTAGTCTTATTCAAATTTCAATTGAAGGCGCGCATGCAGTATCATCAACTGAAAAATCGATATCAAATAGTGTGTATGAGAGATGATTAAAACAGAAGAAAGGCAGCAGCCCTAAAAATGTGCCGTGTGGGTTCCATCTTTTAGAACTTTTTCAGAAGATGTGAAATATTTGCCAACAACTGAATGTATTCTTTCAGTGAAGTAGTCTTTATATAATCTTAATTTATTTCCCATAATTCCATAGTCTTCCGTTATAACAATTAGCCCACTGTGCCAAACTCCAGTAAAAGGATTCGGAAAATCACAAAATACAATTACAGTATGACTCTTTGTTTTTCGGGCGCAGTTACAATGTTATGGTTAACTAATTGTTAAGTAGCTGAGTGGTTTGCAAGAAAACCACATTGTAATCTATAGAAGTTATATTCAACAAAGTCATTTTACATATGTTGATAAAAAAAACATTCAAAAACCTCAGCTATGCAGTTCAATAACGGAATCGGTATGGGGGAGGGGTGGGTGGGATTTAAGGGTCGTCATAATGATATTATTAAACATATTCTGTTTCAATGCGCGTTTTCAATTAAGACGTGTTTGATGCTCGTAACTATCCCTAGTGGTTCCATGGTTGTTTATTTTGTTCCTCTTCGGAAACGTGACATTCTCAAAAGACGCTTACCCTCTTCCGGAACTCCGGGTCTTATTCTCTTTTTACTTTTCACGAGTCTCCAAGTAACCTTTCTTTTGTTAATACTAAGCGCTAGTTGAATTGAATTTGAGTTTGAAAAAAACAATTGTAGATTTATTGACGTTCATAATCATATATCGTATTAAGTGAGCAAGTTTCCATGGAGACAGAATTTGACTAATACGTTCAATAATTAAAGCGAGAGAGATGTAACTTATACTGTCTTGACTGCATCACCTTTATCAATATCAAGAACGCTTTTCATCGAACTTCTATTGGACACAATGAAGCGACGAAAAGTCTGATTTTCAATCTAATGTATTTCTAACTGATTTGAAATCGTAAACCCCTCAAAATTGATAACACAAGACTAGTCAAGACAAGCTAAATGTAGAGAAACATCAAATTCATTGCTGTTCAAAGAAGTAAAAATGAAATGTGATAAAAATTTCTGACAGCGTTTTTCCTCTAAAGTCAATTGATCTTTCTCTCGTGATACTAATAATTAGGTATCTTTATTCGTGCACAGTACTCGTAAAAATCCACGTTATTATCCATGTCCTTAACATAAATTTATTATGACTGGCTACACTGTGAAATACCCATCGAAAATATCTATAAATTGTCAAAATAGATAAAAAAATTCTATTGTACACAAACACCATTATCACTACTGGAAACGTTTTTGTTTATTAGTTGACGTGTCTTGTCACGATGTTTCCTTTCAGCTTCAGATCTCGGTTTCCATGTGGGCGACTATGTTGTGTTTGCTGGAATGATCATCTTTTCTCTTGGGATTGGTGAGTTCGACACACTGTAAATTCAACCCGTAGGTTTGTTTCCCGATCAGTTATAACGATATTCCAGAAGGGAGTATATTTTTTTTACGTCCCATCCCCCCACCCCCCTCCCAGAAAAAAATCAGATAATTAGATATGTGAACACGAACATACTCTATACAGATATATAGTTAAACATTTGCTTGCTATATCCCCGAAATCTTCATTCTAAGAATTCTATCATTACGTAACAAATAGAAGAAATATTTTAATTAAAAAAATTAATAAACACCATTCCTCGTATTGAATTTTCATGGCACCCTAAAAACAGTACATTCGGTTAGAAGTTACACTGATACTGTACATTCGGTTAGAAGTTACACTGATACAGTACATTCGGTTGAAGTTACACTGATACAGTACATTCGGTTAGAAGTTACACTGAGACAGTACATTCGGTTAGAAGTTACACTGATACAGTACATTCGGTTAGAAGTTACTCTGAGACAGTACATTCGGTTGAAGTTACATTGATACAGTACATTCGGTTGAAGTTACACTGATACAGTACATTCGGTTAGAAGTTACACTGAGACAGTACATTCGGTTAGAAGTTACTCTGAGACAGTACATTCGGTTAGAAGTTACACTGAGACAGTACATTCGGTTAGAAGTTACTCTGATACGGTACATTCGGTTAGAACTGTTTAAAGTATCACATCTAGGAAAGTGTTAGACCAGATCTTCATTTACATTGCCATTAGTAGGAGATATTTCGCTAGTTTTTTCTCATTTTTCATAAACCTAAATTCATATAACGTTAGGTGTGTATTCCGCCTGTTCCGGCGGAGGACAGAAGACAACCCTGGAGTACCTGGTCGGAAATAGACGACTGAAGATGCTGCCGGTCGCCATTTCTCTCGTTGTTACGTTCGAGTCGTCCATATTAGTCCTTGGCTACCCAGCTGAAGTTTACATCTACGGAGGAGATCTAATCTGGACCAGTGTTGGGTTGATGACAACCATGCTGGTAGCCACACGAATAGTGGTTCCAATCTTCCATCCACTAAAACTTACCAGCGTATTTGCGGTAAGACGAAGACTTCCCGATATTCTTAAATTTATGATAATGTCAAAATTATCTGAAAAAAAATGCCGCCGACTAATTATCAGAGAGTTAATTTAATGCTGAAAAATGAAATAAAGCAATTACTACTGTTTGATCAGGGCCAGAATTGATGGAACATGTAAGTAAGACCTGAAGACACCAGAGAAAGAACGAGAAAAGACGTCAGATTAATTTTTTCTCTTCTTTTTCAACTTTTTTTTTTAAATGCGCATTTCGAAAAAAAAGTAAAGTGGACATATGGTACCTTTCAAGAAAGTTGAGAATTATATTGATATTCCTAAACCTGCCCGCTACTGTTTTGCCTTTTATCTAAGTGTTGTAATGTTGATACTGTGTTTGATTTGTTTCAGTATTTTGAACAGCGCTACAACAGCAAAGGACCCCGCATACTGGGTACAGTCACAGGAATGTTGTATTACGTATGTAGAGACAAAATATATGACCCTTGCTTCCTTTAAACTCTTGCTAGAAAATATTTGTATGGTTTAAATTTTTTACAAATAAACCCGAAGCAAAACAATTTTTAGCGTAAGTATTAAAATGGATTGCATTATGCCATTTCATTCAATCTATTTAAAACAAAACTTTAAAGCCCTCAAGATTTATCTATTTTTCAATGTCATTTCCTATTTAAGGCATCTAAAAATATCTCACGTGGTTTTTACGGATTTGACATATTTGATACTTGTATAACATGTTTATTCATAACGTCGATGAGAATGGATGATTTTCACTTTGTTAACGTGATCGACAATAAATTACAATGTAAGTAAGGTACTGTGTCTCTTTATGATAAGTACAAAAACGTACATGTGTTATGTCTGAGGTATAACGTAGCGATAGTTCTAAAGATAAAATTATATAATAACACAGTAACATAATAATCTGAGCAATATCTAAGTATACAGTTATAAGTTGTAATATCAAACATAAGTACATAGTTACTATCTGTAAGTAATATTTAACATGTATATATATAAAGTTACTATATATAAATAATATTAGACATATATATATAAAGTTACTATATGTAAGTAATATTTAACATGTATATATATATAAGTTACTATTTGTAAGTAATATTAGACATATATATATAGTTACTATATATAAGTGATATTAACATGTATATATATATAAAGTTACTATATGTAAGTAATATTTAACATAAGTATATATACTATATGTAAGTAATATATGTAAGTAATATTAGACAAAAACATATATTTACTATTTGTAAGTAATATTAGACAAAAACATATATTTACTATTTGTAAGTAAATATTAAACACACACATATATATAATTACTTTCTGCTAGTAATTAAAATACTTACTTGATGGAATATACTAAATTGCAAACACGTCCGTCATTATTTATCATTAACAAGAGTTTAGCAAAGGTTTATAAACAAAGAAATCATTCAAACAAAAATTATTTAAAAACTATTTTCATTTTTATTATAGATTGTTTACATGGGTATTGTGTTGTACGGACCCGCAATTGCTCTGGAAGCCGGTGAGGAACTTTTATTAAAAAAAGAAAACAAAATAAAAAAAAAATCACTCTTAAATGTATGTGGATCTGATTATTCTAATTTTTTCATATATCATTTCGTCAATATACACTCAAACTATTGATTACATAGTATGGTTTTATTTTAATTTTTAAAACATCCGACACATTGAAAGAAATCCGATTTTATTTACACAGCTCGATTGAATCCGTCATAAAGTATTCGTCAAAATGTAAGTACAATGTAATAAACATTCTTGATATTTTACTATCATGACTAAATTTATATTCAGTGACAGATTTTCCATTCTGGGCTTCCGTATTCTCAGTAGCAGGGACAGCCATCATCTACACCTCTATAGTAAGTTAGTGCTCAAAACAGTCATGCGACATGGGTCCTGATGTAAAAGATCTAGACATATTCAAGATGTACATCCCTTTTTACGAATTTTACCAATATTTACATTAAAAGTGATCCCCATTCTGTGATCGGAGGTATTCTGTTTAGGAGTATCTCAGGACAAGTGTTTTTGGCCGGGTGTTAAACAATGTCTTTTTATGTCTCTATACAAGGCGAACTCCTGATGTTTGTGTGTACAAATGTTTAACATTTCCTTTATATGGTGTGTCTTTTAATCTTTGAACATGATAGATACAAGGACGTATACTGGCCAGATGTATTACATTGTTTTATATTTCTGCACAAAGTTGTCTGAGGGCGGTCGTATTGACAGATGTATTACATTGTTTTATATTTCTGCACAAGGTTGTCTCAGGGCGGACGTATAGACAGATGTATTGCAATATCTTATACCTTTACAGGGCGGTCTCAGTGCGGTCGTGAGGACAGATAATTCTTTTATATCGCTGCACAGGATTGTCTTAGGGCAGCTGTGAGGTCGTGTAAACAAATGTCTTACAAAGTTTTATACCTTTACAGGGTGGTCTCAGGGCGGTGGTATGGACAGATGTGTTCCAATGTCTTATCATGACGATAGGAATAATCGGCGTAATTGTGAAGGTATTTATGTTTTATTTGATTTTGTCAGACGAGTTTACTCTAACATATGTTAAATCTGATATAAACATAGTCATATAGAAAGTGATAACATTAAGCTTGTTTGAGGGATGGGTACATGTCAAGACAAAGTTAACATGTCTCTGTATTGTATACCATTGCAAACACGATGTAACAGTTAAGAAGTTAAGTGTCGCAATATTTGAGGTAACGACAAAATGTTAGCAATTTTTCCTTACAGTTAGTGATATGCACACCTTGATTCTTAATTTGAAGAAATATAGATGTAAAATATGAAATGAGTGATAAGAAAATAAGACATATATGAAAAAATGACAATTGAAGTTAAGGAGAACATATATGAATATTTACAAGGGAGACCAATGCAAACATCCGGGAAGATAAGGTCAGTAACTTGTTCCAAGCAACATCAAAGACAATATTGACAAATAATCAACATTTAAAACTTAAAGTAGGAAATGACAAATTGAAAAGAAAATCAAGCACAAGAGTTAGGTAAATAGATAAATAAATATCAGGAGAATGGAGTCAGCTGGTCCGAATGTTTCTTCACTGACATCTGAAATACAAATACAGCTCAAATTCAAGGTATATCAAGCCTCGAAAGTGATATTTCATACCATCTGTCATACAAAATGTTGTAATTAAAAGAAATTCTTTCAACAGTGCTAATCTTAATATGTCTTAGACAATAACATCGAAATAGAGGTCCTACTTAGTAGACTTTTTGGTCGAGATGCGTAAGGGTAGCGCTTCTGCCTTTCAAATTAGCCACCGGAGTTGGATTGAACATTTACAGGTAAGCATGTCCCACATGTTAGACGATTTTTTCTTTGTTTCCCCGCCCCCCTTCCCCAGATCTCATAAAAGGAAAAAATGATTTACAAAACTTTTCAAAGTGGCTGCTAATATCGGCATCCTAATGGCCATCCATAAACACTGATACGACAGTCTCCCTGTCAAAAGACAAATTTGAAAAAGCTAAATCATTACTTCAGAACTTCAAAAACAAGCGCAGAATCAAACTTAAAGTCCTTCAATGCATTGTTGGTCTGTTAACTTTTTTATGGGTTGTCACAATCCCGAATAATTGCTCTCACTGCAGGAATAAAAGGGCATCATAATCACATTCGCCTAAACAAAGAAGCACGTGAAGATATTCAGGCATGACTGATTTTTTTGTCGGAACACAATGGGAAATCTTGTTTCTTGTTTGAAAACTGGGTGTCATTAGAGGCAGTCAAACTTTTCGCGGATGCAGTAGGGGTAAATGGTGGCTGTGTGGCGGTTCTGTGGCATCAATGATTTGTGATACAATGGACAGAGCGCAATCTTTTCATATCACTTTTAAAACGTTTACCTATCGTTATCACAATGGAGATTTAGTGTAAAAAAACTGTTCAGCCATAAAATGTTGTTCATGTGCGACAACAGCGTAGTTGTTGACATAATTAACGAGACAACTTCAGAAGATACACATAAAATGAAATTAATAAGAAATTACAGTATACATTTTAGGGCCACAAACATTGTTGCCGATAAACTGTCATGTTTTCAATTTCAGGGAGCCTTCCAAGTAGTTTCATTGCTAATCTGACTTCAATAGGAATCATATATCATCTTATGACTGTATAACAAACAAGTTTTCATCAGCTTCCTTGGCTCCATCTATTATTAGCTCTTATGTTTGTTGAGTGTTGCAACATTTCATAAATTTCCCTGTACCCCAACAAATCCTCTCTGTATACATTGTACATCTGTTCACTCAAACGTTTAGTACTGTCATAATTTATTCATACATATCAACAAGAACTTTGTTCATAAGGTAGAAAATATGATTGACCCTAATTCCTCATTTTTCATCAAAAAATTGTTGAAGGGTAGATTGCCAATCACATTGAACATATCAGAAAACCTGTGTATGCCACGGACAAAATAATGACTTAATGCCGTAAAGCTCTTATGTGTCAGGCAATGTTTTTATTGGCTTTTAATGATGTCCTTCGGATTGATAAATCTATTTATTGTCAACCAAAACAAGCAACCAGACAACATTTTACATTTCCTGTCAAAGGGCTCCACACAATCATGCACTAACTGCAATGACAGTAAAATTAGCATATCATAAACATGGGGATTTTGCAACCATTTCTTATCGATATTCCCACTGGTCTATATGAATTTTGCCCACAATTTTTCAACCACAAGAGTAACCCCCTTTTTTCAGTTTCTTGACTCATCACCGGTATCCTACTCTTATTTCTGCAAGATGCTTCAATCAGTTCGGACCTTCATCAGTCTAGATCCGAATATTTACTAAGGGTATAGTTTTCGGATAGCGGTTGCTACCTCTGCTTCAGGAAAAAGGATGCCCGAACATATCTTTCAAAAACAGGGTCGTTGGAAGTTGGATGCTGTTAAGTTAACTTTATTCGTGTAGTGATACAGTCATGATATACAAGTACGTGTTACTGCATTGATCTCTGGCCACTCTCCTTGTTGCTGTTTACTATACATCAAACCGTTTGTGAGGCGTAGAATTGTCTGCTGTTTGTATGCGCTTACATATTTTATTTAAAAACGTACTTGTGTTGTCAGAGTTTGTCTGTCTACAAAACTTGTTTGTAGCCGTTATGTAATGTGTATATCATACAGGTGAGGTCAGAATGTGTATGCTCACTAAACTGATTACTAGTTAAAGTTACCTCAGTTATTGCTGCGCATAGAAGTGAGGTAAGCATCTGTCAGCTCACAAACTGAATATTGTAATTCTGTTACTGTGTAGACCATGAGGTCACTATTATACACAATCTCTAGTTACTTTTATCACAAATATCTGCGAGGTCAGAGTGTTGTGTGTGTTTTTTTTTTTAAAGATTTGTACATGTTGTGTTTCAACTGAAGTCAGGATTTGCCTGCTCTGCATTTTGTTATGTCACTTTAGTTTGACATTTTTTTACTTCTCTGTAGATGCATGCAGTTAAAACTTCTTTCAATTCCTATCTGTTTTTGTAAAGCAATTTCTTTTATTTGATGTAACTACCATTCTCAGAGCCTTTGGATTGGGTGATGAACATCTAGTGACAGACCATGCTCTTTGTTCTATCTGATGTTCATCATCGGTGTCTATTTTTATACCTCATCTTTGTTGTAACACTATATATGAAGCAAATTGTGCTTATTTTATCTACAATTGTCCTATAGTATTGCGATATTGGACAATGGAAAAAAAATATCCTGGTTTTTGTTACAATTAAGTTTACGTGTCATTAATATTTCGTTGTTCTTGTGAGCACAACGGTTACAACAAGACAAGCTTCGGTCTCTGAATATGTCTCCATGCTAACACAAAACAATTTCTACATTTGCATATCACGTTAAGCCGAAACCATAAATCTTATAGAAACGACTAGATCATCCTGGTAAAATTATCATTGTATCCCCATGACTCGTAAGACCCTCCCTATTACTCTTGAATTAGTTTCCAAGACTCGTATGAACTTCCGTATTACTCCTGATTTTATCCACATGACTCGTATGAACCTCCGTATTACTCCTGAATTAGTTCCCATGACTCGTATGAACCTCCGTATTACTCCTGATTTTATCCACATGACTCGTATGAACCTCCGTATTACTCCTGAATTAGTTCCCATGACTCGTATGAACCTCCGTATTACTCCTGATTTTATCCACATGACTCGTATGAACCTCCGTATTACTCCTGATTTTATCCACATGACTCGTATGAACCTCCGTATTACTCCTGATATTTTCCCCATGACTCGTATGAACCTCCGTATTACTCCTGGATTTATCCACATGACTCGTATGAACCTCCGTGTTACTCCTGATATAACCCCCTTGACTCGTATGAACCTCCGTATTACTCCTGAACTCGTATGAACCTCCGTATTTTCCCTGCTGTATTTCATGAAGAGAATGAATGTTCCATTACGTTTTAGGGAATTATGGATGTAGGTAACGTTTGGAAAGTCTTCGAAATTAATGAAGAAAATCTTCGAATGCGTTACTTCAAGTAAGTATGAAACTGCAGGAATCGGTAACCTTCGGCAATTTCCGTAAGCATCAAAATCAGTAATATATTCTGATAAAAAAGAAAAATGAAACCACTGAAAAAAAATAGAACGCGAAAAAGGACTGTTCCAACTGACAGTTATTCAAACCTACAATGGTAACCTAAAATGTCTTCCGGATCCCCGGTACTCATTCTTTACTTCTACAATACCCTGGTCATGTAAGAATTAAATGAGGTTAGGTATGATATGAAAGGAATAAAAGTTATTATATCTTTTGTAGATGTACATATTCAGGTTATGAGTTGAACATTACACAGCGAGAATTCATAACTTATGATGTGTTTTGAAATAACAGCTTCGACCCGGATCCGACAGTTCGGCAGACATTTTGGACATTATTTTTCGGGTCTGTATTAGGATATTTTGGAATGGCCTTTAATCAGGCGACTGTACAACGTATCGGCTCTCTCAGGACATCACAAGAGGCAAACAAGTAAGGAGTTATCCAAATCACAAAACCAAAGCTAACATACACATGTGTTGCTACCATTTCATTTGACGATATTTTGTTACATGTGAGTATAAGAATCTCTTTAGCTCATATTTTTCTGTAAGGCCTAAATTTTCGAAATTTCACCGAGATCTTGAAGTAGAAATTCTCTTTTTTTCTGCTCGGCAGAAATGGCAAATAAAATAATTCTTCTCAATAAATCCCGGAATCACGGAAAAATAGCATATACAGTATGTGTTTGTGCTTGTATAGCAATCAAGGGCTGACTTCCGGCGGTTATAGATTTAATAGATTCGTTCATAAATAATTATATTCTTTTAGAACCTGACTCCACACAAACAATTGCTGTTTATCTTATCTTTTTCATTAGCGGTTCATCTTGCAGTTTTCGCCATGTTTATGAGCAGATAACACCTGGTTTGAGAGTGTTTTTTTTCTTCCAGAATTCTCTATTTCGCCGGTCCGGTGTACTTTTTGTTTGGTGTCCTAGTTAATATTGAAGGACATGTCATGTTTGCCTACTTCAACTCTGTTAACTGTGATCCTGTCGAGTCTGGCATTATTAAAAACCCAAACCAGGTAAAAAAAACAAAAAACAAAAAACTTGAATCGTAATATTTATTTATGATTTAATTATTCGTGAAAAAAAATCGAAATTGGTTGGCTGCCCGGGGTCACGCGATAACTCGTTCGGACGAGAATCGAACTTTATTCAGCTAAAGATGATGACCCGTGGCTGTAGGTTCGAATCCTACACAGTGTACATTCATATCAAACTTTACAACACTGTAAAAGACGTTATTCTAACTTATAACAATAAACCTTGTTGGAGAATCCGGGGGAAATTCGATACTTTATCACGTCCATTCCCTGCATCGGACCCAAGACGCCTTGGTGGTGTTGTTTGGTGCAGATAGATCAGATTTCGATCGTTTTGGGCTTTCCTTGAGAAGACGTGGCATATGATATTGCTATTAACGTCTCCTTGAGGGTCCTGATCGCTATATCATTGGACAACATATTGGAGACTTGTCAAATGAAACCAAGAGCAATTAAATACAGATGCTGTCTCGACTGATTATTTTCATCGAAAAACTCTCAACAGACACTGTTATTTATTTTGACAAGAACCTGCATTATGCATGTTTCCAGGGGAAGGAGGGCTATGATCGATATTGTTTAATTAAAAACTATTCAAACTTTGAATTTATTTTTGTTTATTTATACCAGTTACTACCATATATGGTGGTTAGGGTGTTCCATGGCTTTCCCGGGCTCGCGGGACTATTTCTCGCCTCTTTGTTCAGTGCATCGTTAAGGTAAGATGTTTCATATTCTAGTGACACAGAAATATGACATATTCGTTACTGAAAACATTTCATCACAAAGAAAATGTGACAAGGATGATGTCCTTAATTAAGCTCGGTAAGCTAAGCAATGTGGAATTGAGTATTGTGTCTGTGATTTCGCTACCACTATTTTGGAATAGATAGTTTTTAGACCATACATAAATGTGTGTTTTAAGGCAAAATGCTTACATTTCTGAAATATTTGCTTAAAAAAAATGTTAATTATTTTTTTAAAACACGATTGAGTTTTTTTTTGTTTATTTTTTTAGTGTGTGTTGGTGTGTTTTTCGATTTTTTCTCTGAAAACCGATAGTAAAAAGTAAGAAGTCAATATTGTTCGTATCCTGTATTATGTCACACTTTTCATTTCAGCACAATATCATCAGGACTTAGTTCTCTTAGCGCTCAAACCATTGAGGATTTCATTAAACCCCGTTATAAGGACATGTCCGACAGAAAAGCAACAGCCATAGCGAAGTTTTCAGGTGAGGACACATACACGGCAGGTTTATACTGTCTTTAATACATTGGTATCGGTAAACGGGCTTTTGTTTCATTTTTGCTTGAAATCGGCAATTATTGCAATATAAAAACCAATCAAGTTCCCGATAATACAATGACATATAGATAACAAATATACGTTATCTGTATATATGCGAAATAACTTTGTTTTATTCTGTATCATGTTCTTCATGTTGATTGAATCCATAAAGTTGTTGGTTGATTACAGTAACAATATCGAGTTTATTGTGTCAGCCAATCAAAACGCGTTTGCAGTATAATCCACGTGTGATCTGTGTCTTTTACTTGCTAGGAAGTTTTCATAATGTCTTGCGAGTTGAATAACAAAGCCTGTGATGGTCCTCTATTTTTAAAAACTAAAAACAAAACTATGTTATATGATTCTCATATATCAAGAAAGTAATTTACAATTTGATTAATTTCATTGATTTAAGAACGTAGTGGGCGTGGTCAAATTAATTCTTGACTATCTCTTTCTTAATTTATTCTTGTTTGTAGTTGTTTTGGCCATTGTCTCCGTTCAGCAGAATCGACAATGATTATACAATCTTACATTCATAGTCATATCAATATGTCATGATGTCGGCATGTTTATTTTTCATGCTTTTTAATTTTTGGTTCTGTAAATAGGGACTTTGTCTGTGTGATCTTTTAATAAGAAGTATTCTACCGGTCTTTTAAATCCAAATGTAAAACATTATGTGTTTCAGTTCTGATCTATGGCGGACTTTCTTTGGCAATCACAGCTATGATAGCGAAAGTACCCGGATCATTGAGTCAGGTAAGTAGGATTTTGGTTAGTTTGTAAGATTGTACAGTGATTAAACGCAGCGATATACATTGAAATGACAATAGACGAGATAATAATAAGATATTAACATGAAATTGATATGTAACCCAACCATACAAATGACTGATCATGGATATCGCAGATCGATTTTCTTTTACTCGATAAACGCACATGTAGAAGCAATCACGTACTTATCTCGAATCCTCTCAAATGATAGAAATATAATGCATACGATATTAAGTACATGTATACTGTTATCGTTTTCACAATACATTGACATATCCCGTGTACTCGAGAAATCAGATCAAATGTTTTGACGCTTTCACCTCTTGGAAAACTATGGACAAATAAATAGTGTGCGTTTTATAATTCTTTGATTGCACCCATTTGAAAATGTTATTTTGTTTTATCACATGTGAAAGAACCGATTAGAAAAGCGTGAAAATGTTCCAGATAAGTGGCTCACTCCTCACCTGCTTTGGAGGTCCAATTGCGGGAATGTTCTTTCTTTCTATATTTTGCCCCTGGGCTACGAAAAAGGTAGGTCTGTCTTTTCATGAACCTGGTTTTTATGACAACAAGGTACTACCAATTTTGATCGCTCCTGAAGCAACAGACGTTTAGTTTTATACTTTTTCTGTTGTTAACCTTTAATACTGTCTTTTGTTTACGTTTTCAATAGGTTGATTTTAAGTTTCAACTATATTTATCTTATTTATTTATCTATTTTTCATATATTCGATGTTATAATTTATCGATATTATTTATTCTGCATTAACTAATACTTCATTGCAGGATTATCTTTACAAACATTTGAAATACTCCACAGAACATCACTTCACCAGTGACTTTACCACTTAAAATACACTGTACTGTTGAAATAAGGCAAAGAATGTAGCGTCTCTCGTCATCTAATGTGTGCTTTATGCTATCATAGAACCAGTATATACATTATAATGTGTAATACAAGAAGACTTTTTTACGTTATATTTCTCTGGTTACAATAATAACGTTATTTTCTACAATATATATCCATATTATGAAGTTTCGTTTACTTCTCTGTCACTTGTCAAATGACCAATGAAGTCATTTTAACATGTCATAGTTGCTTTCGCTTAACAGAGAGGGAAGTATTCAAAACAAGCAAATCTTTGACCAAATCTTAAATACACCTCCATAGGAAAGATGCTTTTCATCAACTTATTTCCAAATAAGTATACATTACTTACAACATCCTCGATACTCCAGGGGTTACATTTACTTTCGCTCTCTGCACCCCTTGGACATGTCACGGCAAAATTGAAGGTTCCTTGTGTGACACCTTATGGACAAGACGAAAAAGACTAGTTTGATCCTTTGATGTACATCAAACTAATCTTATGGTTGTTTGACGGTTTGTTGTAACGGCTTTGAAGTTGGTGGCCATTCTTTTGTAATCTTCAAAGGAAGCGTATCAGTCTGTGATTAGTCAGTTTATTTCTTCTGAAACCAATGAAATTACATCGTTCGTGCTTTCAATTTTCCCAATGACATTTTCCAGGGGTGCAGAGAGCGCAAATGATCTAACCACTGGAGTATAGAGGACGTACTTGATACAGGAGAAACGTTCTGTCGACGTCATTTCGATCTCGCAATATATGTATATGTACACATATGTTTCATTTCTATTTGCCATATAAAGGTGACAGAGTTTTCACCGCAACGACATACACGTGTGTAATATTCAAGTAATTAGAGGTTGCTAATATACTTTTAGATTGCATTCATCTGGGTATATATGATAACGACTATGTTTTTTCAAATATTTTTATGTGCTTCGTGTTTTGAGGGGGCTGAATTGTGAGGAAATTTTGATAAATATAAACGTTATTGAAATAATATTCATGCATGGTGTATAAGCTATCAATTAAGTATTTGTCACTTTCAATTTGTCCACCACAGGGATTCCTTATCGGTGGAATATTATCGATGCTGTTTGTCTTGTGGATATCTCTCGGATTAAACTTTTTCACGTCAGCACCAATCCAGCCCTGGTTACCACCAAATCCCACTGATAAATGTTTTGGTGACTCCGAACTCTCTTCAAATAATACTTCGTTGAAGAATTCAACCAATTTTTTCAACTGCTCGACGGTCTCACAGTGTGATGTATCCTCGAGGATTGCAAAGTACCAAAAGGATATGGAAATTTTCAATGCAATAGAACCGTGTGTATCATTACCAGATGGAAATTGTTTTTAAAATTTGATCCTTATATGTACAGATGATATTTTATTTGTTAAACATTGGTCTACGGATCTTTATCTGTTTTAAGTTTGTTTTTAGAATTCTCTGTGTATCTTAAGGGACATTTTAACTGTGTTTAAATCAGATTTAATATCTTAAAGGCAATTAGATAAAAGTAATTTATATTGCATTATAGGTAATATAATTTAATTGGTTATGAATTGTATGATTTTAATAAAAAAAAAAAAAATCGGATTTTACAAATGTCGCTTAAAATGTTACATGATTTAGCTGGTTATGAATTGTATGATTTTGATATAAAAAGATGCATTTTATAAATGTCGCTTAAGATATAAGATAATTTCGTTGGTTATGAATCGTATGATTTTAATTAAAAATCAGATTTAACAAATGTCGCTTAAAACACAACATAATATAGGGGGTTATCAATCGTATGATTTTGATAAAAAATTGGATTTTACAAATGTCGCTTAAAACGTTGGTAACATATTTAAAGTCGCGTGAAATTTAATTCAATGACCTAGACTTAGATATATTGGGCCTCAGTTTTGATTTATTTGTTTCCATTTGAAGCTATAATGAAATAACATTTTGGGAATGTACAAATACTAATACTAATTAAAACTATATTTCGGAATGATCGATTTCACTTTCCTACTTGAAAAATGTCATTGCTTTATTCACTGAAAGTCAATTTAAGTTCAATTATAGTTCAAATATTTAAAAGTTTGTGTAATGTTTATTATTCCACAGGCAAGGCCTTGACAAGCTATACTCTGTCTCATTTCGCTGGTTTGGAGCCATAGGAACAATGACAGCAGTCGTTCTTGGTGCTCTTGTTAGCTATTTCACAGGTATGTTTTACAGAATGTGTTTCATTGAAAAAAGAAAAAAAAAATGAATTAGCACCAAAGATAATGCCAAGTTTATGAAATTGTATAGGACATTATTGTTTTACCTAGATTTCTTGACACATTTCATAATCAAATTAATTAAGATATATTCTAGTAACTTTAATGTGTCAAAACTTGAAAGAGCATTACGTATTTGCTGTTTACTAAATAAGCCTTATTTAAGTCTACAATGATACGTATGCTTATAAGATAAAATCTTTAAAATGGTTTATTGTAACATAGCAAAACATAATATGTATGGCAATGTGAAACCCGACTGTTTTGACCATCTGGTTATTTTTTGTCTTTCGTTTTTTAACAGCGTGTTACTTTTTTAACAACGCATAAAGTTTGTTGTTCATACCTATTTTGGCCATTTTGATTTTTTCTAGCTTTTTTCGACAGTTAGAAGCAGTTTAAAACATTTTGTTGTCCTTATTTATTTTGGTCGACTTGTAGCTATTTTTGATATTTCAAAGCAACTTTGACCGTTTGTACCCATTTAGCGGCTACAGTTTTATATGTCTGATGGTTCTGACTGTCAACAGCTTTGGCGTAATAATAAAGATATATCATATTGTATCTTGTAAGATTTAATGTATTCGGCAAAAGAGCTAGTTGTATATCAAAATCTGGTTTCGCCATAATTAAACAGTAAGAGAAAACTTGTCCACTCTCATTTTCAATTTATTAGAAAAAATAAATTGATGTGAATGTAAGTAATTTGCTTAATCATACAAAATGTAAATTGAAAGAAATAAATAGATTTATTTATGATGATAAACACCTGTTCTTAAATCAGCGAATCACAAAGCATTCTAATGGTCAAATATATTAACTTTTGAAACACACAAATTTACATCTAGAAATAATGTAGGAAAATATAGGTTAACTTACGTTTCATAGCTGAAGTAATAGTTTACTAAAACCGTAAACAGCACATATATAATTAAAATAATATATATACTTAAGATATACCATTGTTTTCCTGTATGTGTGTATCAGATTTAATCTTTCGTTTCTAGATCATCCTTCAGCAGATGAAGTAGACGTGAGATATATATTACCTCTTGGTGACCAACTGTTTCCATATCTTCCCAAAAAGGCACGCAGATATTTGGATTTCGGAGTTGATTTTGGAAAAGTACATACATTTGTCATATATAATTTACTTAATAATAGTGAAATCTTTGATAAAATGGAAACTTATTAGAGTTTCCCGATCAAACGTCTTGTAAAAATGATGATATTATAAAGGATGAAGTAATATTGATGCGACGCCATGTTACTTTGAAGATCGACAGAAAGCCATGCATAAGTAATGTACATTAAACAAGTGTTAGTCTTGCGAAGATTTCAAAAATTAATATTTATTGAAAAAGTAGAAAATTTGAAACAAGGTCATAAACAGTCGGATTTTAAAACACATTATACATGTGCATAGAATTAAAATTAAATTTAGGTTTGTACATTTTCAGAGGAGAAGATGGCTTATGCAACAAAATACTGATATGAAGGTATCAACAGACCTGTCTGAAAATTTCGACATCGGGATAGACGAACGTAAGAAAAATGATACCAAATCTGTGGAAGCCGGGGAATATGATACATGTAGTTATCTTTAAAAAGTCTGATCATCAGTCATGCTTAACTACGGATGTATATTGCACGATTCTCATTCAACATTTACCTATTTATATAAAGAAAAGAGAATAACAGAAAGGAAAGATGTGTTCTAAAAATGAGCGTAGAAAGAAAAAATAGATGTGGATAAAAAGTAATAATAACAGACAATGCAATCTTTATACAGAATTTATTAATTGTATTCGTCTTTACAGTAAATAAGAAAAATGGAAACTCTTAAATAAAGGATAGATCTGAACTTTTACAACGTTCTACTGCCCATCGTGATCAATATAATGATAGAGCGGCTGCATCATCATTAGATGGAGGAATTGTTCGGATGGAGCCTGATGTGAATGGCCTCAATTATCTCCATACTTTTTGGAGTCCCTTACTATTGCCTGCGTAGTCACTGATGACTATGTTTCCATGTTGTTTAAGATTCCTACCGTTATTCTTCATACTGGAAGAGATGGTGACAGTAAAATGTAAGGTATCGGTGTGTGTGGCTTTCCCCTATACTGTCGTATTCCTCGAACCGTCTGGACTCACATGAACAAATATATGAAGACTACCATCCACTTACCGTTCTTTGATCAACTTAAACGTATTCTTGTTGTTGATGTAGTCCGTTTTATCAAACAACAATTTTATCAATTATATGAACAAAACAAAAATTAGGGAAATGGGTGCTCTATGTTTATGATATATGAGCGTTTGAAAATAGAAATGAGTGGTAGTAAGACAGAACTCAAAGGAACTCTGCTCTGCCGGTTTAAACGGTTCAAAGGGCGTGGAAATATTCCCACATCTGTACAGGAAGTTGAAAGTATTATGTGTAACGCACAATTTCATAATTTCTATTTAAACGTATAACAATGAACCAATGATCTAGTTCCATTTCATTCAATATCCCTCAGCCCAATCTCGGTCCCGATCTGGACATGGTGTTTCAGGCTCCGCAGGTCAAACCGTTTCAATCACTTGGACGAAAGCGAGACATGTGAAGTGCACAATCTAATTTAATGTACTTTGTGTTTGATTTTTATGCTAAACGTGTATTATGATTCAGTTTATTTTTCTGAATAAGGCTTAATGGAAAAAACGCACATAAAAAAAAAAAAAAAAAAGACAACGTATTTACAGTACAGCAGAGCACAAAAATTCTTGAATTATTAATGAAAGTTGCGTGCATCACAGAATCTATATTCACAGTTGCCTGTGAAACAAGTGTGTTGCAATTAGGCAAATAATTAGACGTATATGATATCTCTAACTAATTGCTACGCCATTGATGTGTGTTGTGAGATATGGTCTTGCTATTGATGTCAGGATTTTGACATCTTTTCAACTGACATGGTCGATGTTAATCTAAATAATTCAGATTTTCTTTTTAAGCCATGCATAGCATACTTATTTATTTGTTGTATGGGTTTTAAGTACTGATAGAAGTATGATCATATGTATACGTGTACCAAGGATTTTAAAAGAGAGGAAATAAAGCATATCAAGAAAGAGTAAAATAGGAAAGTGATTATTTCTATTTTGAGCATGTGAATTTGACATTTGCTGTTATCTGTCTATCAAAATGACACCATAGCCTGCCTTGCAGAGGTTTACCTTCAACTAAAAATCTCAACCAGAAAATGTCCTCTAAGGTGACAGCCAACAGAAAGCTTTGTCCACGTATTAACGATTTCAACGAAATTATGATGTGCGGGGATGGAGCGAATTTATACTCCTCTACTCCTCAATTATAGTAAGTTAGGATGATTTTGCAATGGTTCAACATGGCAAAATAAACTAGATGAAAGTTAAGTACAGCAAAAGATCAGTAAATTCAAAAAGCTAGCAAAAGGAATTATGAATATGAGGAAAGATGCCAAAAGTTTATAATGTAAAAAAGTGATTTTGAGGAAAGATGGATCAATATTGGTAGTGCTTAAACTGAGAAGTTATTTTAGATTTTATTTTATGTATTGTATACGTATGTATCAACGTGTTACCTGCCGAGGCACGTTTATTAACAACACCTGCTTGTATCTGCATAGAGCATCAATATCATGATCCTAGGTCATTGATCTGTTTTCATATGAAATTCATCCTGATACATCTATTTTCCTACATGTCGGCATACTGTTGATCGCTAATTGAATTATTTATGTAAACGATGTTTGCATTAACTACACAATAAGGAGAAGTAGGTGACCTTTTAGACCCAACTGTCAACTTTACCTTGTAATATTGACCCAGTTTTGACGGAACACCTGCGTGGCCTATATTGATCTAGATCTAACACTCTATGATGTTAATCATACTCAAACTGTGTCTCTATGAATACCAACATGTGGACATAATCCAATACACACATTCAATAAAATTAGGTGAAATATGGATAAGAACTATTTACTAGAAGACTACTGAAAAAAAGGACCAGGTATTCCCGAAGATAAAATGTCTTCTATTTCATCGATGACATCGTTCTGTAAATCATGAGCACTCCAAGTAAGATAGTCTTGTTCCCAAGTGGGAGCAATGTAAATATCAACGGCAAGCTAACGGGCATCAAACACTACTAGCTTCATATCGCAAAAAGAAATCAAATTTATCAATGAGATCACTTTGAAGACCAACACACTTCGTCTTCCCCATAATCTACATCTTTTGAAACTCAGTTGTATATTCGTCAGTTCAGTTGACTTATTTTTTATCCTAGTCGAATGTCAAATATAAACTACATCCTACAGATTTTTTGCAATGCAAAGCTTGATCCCTGCGACGAGGGACAAGACCGGATGGTATTAGATTACCGATTTTAAAAGTATAAAACATTCACAATATTTGAGATCGATCGAATTATGGTAATGGAGGGTGTTGATTAAGATCATGATGTGAACAATCCAAACTGTACATCTTGGAGAACTAACACTAGCCAAGAAACTTGAGAGCAGGGAATTTGGTGGAAGCCACACAGTTTTATGCCGTATAGGAAGCAAATCTAACTTCTAATATGACGTTCCCTTGATACACCAGGATAGCAAAGTCTTCTCCCAGATCCCAATGTGCAACATTGCACGTATGCATGTACATGGTATATCATGACCCAAAGTTTTCACTGTTGATCATCAGACTTTCATTTTGGTTCTATTAGATTAGAATCTCCTAAATCCTGTTTCATGAGACGCTCTCTCCCTTGACGTTGAGGGTGCCAAATTGTCGGAATGGAATGAATTGTTTATGTAATCACCATTCACGGATTTTATTTGACGACTGCTAGTACGGCTTTCGTTTGTTGTTATTGGATCACATGTTTTGCTTTAAAATCGATCCAGATCCCGCGGAACAGGTTTTTATTTTGACTCGCGTTCTTACCAATGGATATTTGGCAGCGGGATCTTTCAGTAGGTTGGCATGGTTTACCTAAGCATCACTGGCCACTTTGCGCACACAGTCCTAAAATGCTGCATTCATTAGTTCCAGCTTGTAACCTGGATCCGATTCACTCTTCAGAATGAAAGAAACTTTACTGCTGATCTGTTCTGATCTGATTGAGAAAGTCCTTTCATTTAGACATTCTCATTTAAATGTACAGTTGACACATTTCCTTATAAACTTCACATTGTTCTATACTTCAGACATGAAAATCACGAAATTTATTGGATAATAGGGTTAGTGCATCCCTTTTTAGAGTTTGATTTCTCTCCATCACTTTGGATTCTCTCCGTTGCCTTCAAAATGTCCTATGAACGAAACACCTGAATGATGCAGCTAAATTCACTGTTTGACTCCAATGTATCTAATTGAAAAACTGTATTCGATTTTAAAAGGGACTATAAACACTGTGTTTATTTTGTACAAAATTTTACAAAATAACCAACATTTCTTCACACATATAGACATTTTACTCATGACTACACTCCTTTTTGTCCCTAAAACTAAATGTGAAATTTCGTTTGTTATAATTTATTTGCTGTCTTTTTACAAAATTTATTGTTTACAAGCTTTTCCTGGATACAGCTTGAAAAACGTTCACCAGGTCTCTACGGCGCTTTGTCCATCTATCAGGCCAGTGTCCTAGTTTTGCGTTTACTATTGGCGAAATTTCATTGTGTTGACAATTTGAAAACAATTCAGTTAATTCATACACAAATAAAACATCAACATCAAAATACATAGAGAGTTTACAACGTAATATATAGTCGATGTATATATATATGTTTGTCTATTTGGATGTTTATACTAACAATTAGGAGCGGAGGATAATGCCCCACATTGTGGGACCTTGTAAGTTTTCCTATAATTTCATTGTCAATCATTACAGAACGATTCAAACAAAGCCACGAAGGACGTAACCCAAGATATGTTTCCATTATTTATACAGTCAGGATACCAGTTATACGTGGAGATGACATAAAGTCGTGAAACGCCACGTGACATTCGAACACGTGAGCAAACAGGATGCGATTTTCAAGACATGGTAAATTCACGTATCACTGTAATGACGTTATCTGACTGCAAAAAGCATGAACCTTCTCAAGGAGCATTTATTGATAGTGAATCTTGTCATGATTTTTTGCCTAAAGAAATATTTCTTTACATTCTGTCCCATCAAAATAAAAACAATAATTTCTTCCTTAATAGCAGAGCGTCTCTAGTGAACACGTTTCTTATCAAATGTTTCGGTGGGAAACCCGCAATGGTCTTTATAATGTAACGTATTGATGTTTGAATCCTATCAACAGACTTTCAGTAGAAAAAGAGCGGTTTAGGATATCATGAATCATTACAGTTCCCAGACAACTTATTCGCTGCTTAGATATTGTACATGTAGATTCTCAGCAGGTAAATGTGTGTGCGCATATCACAATGCAAAAACAATAAAAAAAATGCCTAACATGTCAACAAAATCTTATTTCAAATTCAAATTAGATAAAACTAAGGATGAACATGTTCAAAAGAAAACTTAAAATGGAAACTTCAGAAGAAGGAAAAATAGGTAAAC